TGTGTTTTTGAAGAATAAAAAATTCGCAGATTACGCGTTAACTAAAAGCCGACTTCTCCATCTATCATTCTCCATTAGAAGCCATTGGAATGTACATTCAGCACTATCTGACAAGAAAGGGTTTTATTTCATTTCATTTATTTTACCCTCCATCGCACAAAGCTTTACAGAGGGGAGTGGGGTACGAAAAATAATAACTATAAACTATAAACTATAAACAAGCGCAAACATAGTAACATCAAAATAATAAAAATTACAAGACATGAAAATTCGATGTTTGGCAATACACTGAATATATGTGTATCATCAGAAACATGAGGGAAACAGAGTACAATAACACATATGTACAATATACACTTCACGCGTCATCACGTAAGTACTTTAGTATTGTAGAAGAAAACAAGCCATGATTTGAAATGAAAACCATGTTTCAGGAAAGGTGGCTCCAGTCATTGGATGTGCGTGAGATGAAGGAATGATGGAAAGTGTTAGTGCGGCAGCTAATGACGTGTACGGTATGTTGATGATCTAAACGGGCTGAGTAATAGGATGGAGTGGTAATGAACTGAGCTTTTAAAAGTGGATAATTGAATATCTTGTGAAAAAGTATGAGACGAGATGCTTTGCGACGTGATTCAAATGACTGTAGCGGAAGGATGTGTGTCATTGACGTAACACTGCTAGTGCGATGGTAGTTAGATAAAATGAGGCGTGCTGCGTTATTCTGTACAATTTCGAGCGAGTGAGTTAAGCTCAGTTGAAAAGGGTACCAAATTGAGCCTGCATATTCGAGTTTTAGACGAACTAGTGTTTTATACATTGTTAGTTTCAGGGCTTGAGGGGCCCGGCTTAAGTTGCATCGTAGGTACCCTAGCATACGGTTGCTATTGTTAATAACATAGTCAACAAGATGCTTCCAGTCCAAGTCAGATGTTATATGAATCCCCAAGTATTTATACGAAGTTACAGGCTCTAGACCAACGTCATTTAAGATGTAGTTATTAGGGGGTCCGGTAGTTCGTGAGATACGTAAAACTTTACATTTGTTAGTGTTGAGGTCCATGTGCCAAGTTCTACACCAGCTGGCAATAATAATTTGTCACTTTGGAACTAGCGTCATAGTTAGATGAAGTTTCTAGGTAAACAATGCAGTCGTCTGCGAAAAGGTGAATCAAAGAAGTTACAACATCGACTAAATCTTTAATATAAATTAGGAATAGTAAAGGATCCAAAACAGAACCATGGGGCACACCAGAAGTACCGGGAGAAGAGGGTGAGCTGTAGTTGTTAGCAACAACGAATTGTGAGCGAATAATTAAGAAAAACTTCATCCAAGCAAGAATGCCGCCATCAATATGAAGGGTCCTAAGCCCATATAGTAGTAGGTGATGATTAATCTTGACAAAAGCCTTCGAAAAATCTAAAAAAATGCAGTCGACCAGTGAACTCCAATCTAGAATATGTAACGAATGGGTAAAACAAAGAAACTGCGTTTCACATGAGAATGACTTCCTAAATCCATACTGTGACGTGCTGAAGAACGAATGTGATTCTAGAAGGGTGACCAAGTTAGAGAAGAATATGTTCTCCAAAAGTTTGCATGGTATAGAAGTAGTGAAATAGGTCGGTAATTGGTGACAGAATGCTTGTTTCCTGACTTGTGTCGTGGAACCACCTTTGCCTCTTTCAAAACGCGTGGCACAACACCTTCATTCAAAGACTGTTGCTACGTTATACTCGCTGGGCGTAACCTCCTTTGTTTTAGAAAGATTTAGCGAGCATCGGGCCACAGTGCCATGAATACAGTGAACTAGTATATACTGTGAACTCGAGGTGGTTAAAGTGGGAAGTAGCCCCACCGCGGTAGTCTAGTGGCTAAGGTACTCGGCTGCTGACCCGCAGGTCGCGGGTTCGTATCCCGGCTGCGGCGGCTGCATTTCAGATGGAGGTGGAAGTGTAGGCCCGTGTGCTTTGATTTTGGTGCACGTTAAAGAACCCCAGGTAGTAGATATTTCTGGAGCCCTCCACTATGGCGTCTCTCATAATCATATGGTGGTTTTGGGACATTAAATCCCACATATCAAGCAAAGGTGGGAAGTAGACATGAAGTGCAAGCCGTAAGAAAGTGTCCGTGTGCCACCTCTCGTTTAGTCGTTGGAATGTCCGCTGGATGTCGGTGCTTCTATATTCGGAATATATGATGAAAAGATGCGAGATGGTAGTACTTGGTGTGTTGACTAGATGGACGAACGGACACACAGACAGATGCATGGACGAATGCATGGATGGCTGCACGGACGGATGGACGCATGGACGGACGCAGGGGCGGATGCATGAACGAACGGAGGGATGAGCGCACGGACGGTCACACAGACGGACGCATATATGATGCAAAGATGCGAGATGATGGTACTTGGAGTGTTAAGTAGATGGACGAACGGATACACAGACAGATGCATGGACGGACGCATGGATGGCTGCACGGCCGGATGGACGCATGGACGGACGCAGGGGCGGATGCATGAACGAACGGAGGGATGAACGCACGGACGGTCACACAGACGGACGCATATATGATGCAATGATGCGAGATGGTGGTTGAAGGTGGATACCATGAACTCAAGGTGGTTGAAGGTGGGAAGTAGACCCGAAGCGCAAGCCGTAAGAAAGTGTGCGTGTTCCACCTCTCGTTTAGTCCTTGGAATGTCCACTGAATGGCGGTGCTTCTATATGGGGAATTTATGATGAAAAGGTACGAGATGGTGGTACTTGGAGTGTTGAATAGATGGACGAACAGACACACAGACGGATGCATGGATGGACGCATTAACGGACGCAGGGGCGGATGCATGAACGAACGCAGGGACGGGCGCACGAACAGACGCATGGATGGTCACACAGACGGACGCTTGGATGGATGAATTCTTCGCCCCACTCTCCATCATTCACTCCATGGATATGCTGCCATTTTTTCTTGTCCACAAACAGCAAAAGGACGCGTAGTTTCTATAGTTATGTAAACTCACCCTACACTCAGACAGCGTAGACCAAAAAAGAAGAAATGACAAACGTTTACAACTGCTGTAATGGAAAGGCTGCCCTGCTAAACAGCTTCCGAGAAGATTGAGTTGGCACCAAGGTCAACTTACCAGCAGAAGTCTCAGATCATGCGGATGTAAGTGTTTTTACGTAAGCGCTGCTTCCTGTAACTGGATTGTTATAATTTTCTCAATGTCATTGATACGACTGGCTGCTTTCAAGAAGCTTTTGTGTAAAAAAATTAACTAACAAATTAAGGCATAATCACTTTTTCTATACCGCCGACGTAGTCCATCACTATGTTACATAACATGTTTTATTTTTTACGGCAATCTTTTCAAAAATAAAGTGGCAGACTTTAGAGAAATTGCCATTAGGTTGTTGGTGAATCTCTTAGTATCGAAGCAAAAGACCTTAAGTAAAGTGGCTGAATAATTAGGTTATTCGATTATAATATACATAACTGCCATAAAGATCATGTTTACTTTGAGCACGCGTGTCACAACCTTACAATTCACTAAAACAGGTTACCAGTGAAAGCGCCATTTAAGGTATAAACTGCCGTTCCCGCCTCCATATCGTGTTACTTGAAATACGACCGTGTAATGTAAGCAGGGACTAACTAAGACCAGGACAAGCACGTCTCACTTAGTTCCTGTCTACGCTGCACGCTCGTATATCAAGTAGTCATGAATCACCAAACCGCTTAATCAGCCATTCAGATGAGGATGGGCAATGGAGGGGGGGCGGGGCTCTGACGTTGTGTGAGGGGTCTCATAAAACTGCCCCGCGGGCCGCATGCAGCCCGCGGTCAACTGGTTGTTGTCACTTCTCCTAGAAAACAAGATTGGACGGGCCCCTTCTACACCCAACGCTTCCTACCACATTATGGATGTTTTCGAAGTGGAGACTGTGACATTTCTTTACTTATGTACAACATAAGTCACGTTGGCGAACACCTAAATGAACCAGGGTTACCAACCTTAGGATAATTACCCTATTCGTACAATAATTTAGGAATTTTTCGGCCAGCATAGGAGACTAGGGTGTTAATACAATTTCGTTATTTAGTGTTGGGTTATTTCAAACAATTACTCCGTCAGGGAATGGCGAAAAGTGTCGAAGTCAGATTTCAGGATTACATTTCTGAAGAGATTAGAAAGCTGAATGTTCTCTTGAATAAAACTGGAACAGTCTTCATTAATTAGTCACTCTCTTATGTCAAAGGCCAAAAGTACTACACCGCACATTCTTGAGATACCATTGTTGTTTTTTCGTGGATGGTTTTCTAGGTCACCTCCTATTCGTTTGTTACGTGGAGGGCCTTTTATATTTCGCGATGCTGGTCGGCTTCAATTCTTAAGTTGAAAGTGATTGTTGCCATTTTACTGAGTGTGTGGCAGAATGCCCCTTTTCTGAGCTGGTTAACTTCTTTTCTGTTCCTCTCTCTTCTTCAACTCAGATCGCCTGTGTCAACATAGCTATGTGTCGAAATGTAAATGCTGCATATTACGTAGTGCCATCAGTTGAGCTTCCTTAAAGGCATCAGACTTTTAAAGCAGTATACTCTCTGTCATTTGGAAAATCTGACCGTGTCACATTATCAGCGTCTTCTATGAGCATAACACCACTGTTATTCGACAGCAACTCAGATGTCACGTACTTTCCCTTCTAGAGTGAAGGTTGGAAGACATAAGTAATTCCGAATATTACTTTTTCGCATCCAGCGTACCACAGTAATGATAGCGAAACATTGTAGATTAGTATTTGAGTTGCTAAACACGCACCACTGTTTAACTGCCTCTGAATTATCGCCCAAAGTTCCGGGCTGAATGCTCCAGGCTCTGCAATGATTTATGTCCTTGAGTTTCCTAAATAAAAAGTGATGGCAATACGGCAATAGCTTTCCCTGCGACGAGAACTACTCCGAAGTAACACTGCAGGATGCGGATATTACTCACCACAACGGCAGGCGCACTCTGTATCAGTCGCATTGCAAGAAACTGTCATTGGCAAGTGGCAATACGGTCGCCAAGGGTATTCGCAAGACACACGGGTCGGTACTGACAGAAAATTAAAACGAATAGTGAATAAAAATTTTAGATGGCCTATTAAAACAATCTCTCAAAAACAAGCCGTCATGTTAAGTATACACACATGTATCAACAGTATTTCTGTGCTTCCTTCTAAACACCATGTCATCGTCGCCATACACCGTCTCATATTTGATAAAGCTCGACTGATCTTTCGCATGCTTTAGTACAGATTTACACTGATACTCCTGCTATTGCGTTGCGATAAAGGTTCGCTGTATCGAACAGCCTTTTCACAAGCTTCGTGGAAAATACACCACGCTTCTCGAATTCTGCAGGATTGAAGTCATAACTTTAAATTGCTCGTACTGACTACTGGCTTGAGTCTGTCTCACCACCAGTTACAAAAAACACAGACATTACTGCACGTATTTTCTAATAACACATGCTGGGTGCGTATCAAGTTCGCAAAGTTTCCACGCAAATGATCTCTCGTGGATTGAATCGTGCTACCCATTGAACGGAACGCAGTACTGTGCAAAAGCTTCACTGACACAAGTCACTTTCAACTTTATGTTATTAATCGATAATTTAAACGTATCAAGTAACGTTCATACAATAAAAAGCGTGCACTAGATGATTAAAGTACGCACGAGGGATAGAAAATCGCTGTTACATTGAGCTCCTAAAGGTCAAACTTAAGGGTCCCTTTTATCGTTGTTGCTCTTGTTGTACCCCGTGCTTTGAAATTGAAGGCATCTAAGACTTCAACAGGAGCTCCACAAATACACATGCTCTTCTGAATGCTAATGTATGAAGAAGTATTGAGGTGCTTACCACAATATGTTTTAACCATTCTTCCATCGCAGAAAAAGCACGTCAAAATCAAGCCATAGAGGCATCTCATTGTGGTTGGGCACAGCTTGTGCATTTTCACTAGGCAGGAAAAGTAAACGCATAAAGTGTGCGTAAGAAGAGATGACCAAGTGAAGTCACAATTTAGGACGACTTATTGCATTCGCAATCACTTAACAGCTGCGAGGGTGCATGCAACGGTTCAAATGCTAATAGAAAGAAGTGGGTTGGTGGACGCAACTATACTACCTAGAACACCTACATTTGTGATGCGTCACAAAAAGCTGTGTTCGTACATTAGAGATAGTAACATAATTTGTTCGAGTACTGCTCATCGCTTGAAACAAACACATTCTTTTCAACTTTAGTCAAGTTTTTAATGTAGCGATTTCATTTCGAGTCATGTGCACCACGTTGATGGAATATTTTATGCGCGTTTTATGGGCTCGAAAAAGAAGATTCGTTTCACATTTAATAAATGTTGACTATCGAACGTAACAAGAACAAACATATGAATCCTCCGCATTTAAGAAACCTGAAGAAGTGTGTAACATGGGCACTGGGCGATTCCCCCTCGCAAAGTATCCTTCTGCCCTATTTGTCTAAGTGTCGATGACGCTAGTGGTTGAGGGTTTGAAGGCCAGTGTGCTCGGAAAACCAATTCAGAGCTTCACCGTGTGCATATGGCAGATTATCAATCACCGTATGGGATATGTGCGCTACTTATTGCAGTGATTTGTCAAATTCCTGCTAGATATGGACGTAGAGATCTCTGTCTTCTGCAGACTACCCTTTATATGCTGATGGGGTGGATGGGCGATTTTTCAGAAAAAGGCACAAAGATAAGAAATTGGGGTGTGGAGTGCACGACAACCATCTCTCATGTGAGGACACCTCAACCGATACACTTAGGGGGGAACGTGGAATGAAGGGACAGAGAAAGTGAAGAAAAGAAAGTAGTGTAATAAGAAAAAGGGGAGGGGGGCAGTTTAGTCAAGGAGGAGCAAAAAAACTAGCGTGATGGAAGGAGGTAGCGCTTCACCATGGTGAGCGGCTTATAGAAGTCGCGCGGTCAAGCTGGTGTCCTCAAGGAAGTCGAGTAATGGCCAAAACACAATATGGCTGCACGCCCGGTTCCGTTCCGTTTTTTCTGTACGGGCCCGGTTTTCGACCGCTCCAGACGCGGCGACAGCTTCTCGGCTTCAGCCGGAGGGGACGAACCCACAAGCTTTCTAGGCTGCTGATTGGTTAAAAAAAACGGCGGCTCATGACGTCATCACGCAAGCCAGACGTGCAACATGGCACTCGCTTGAAGCGACGAAGTGAGTGACTAGGCCTAGTCGGTAGCCGCGTAAAATAGGCTTGTTTGGACGTTATTGCAATTACAACTAGAGTTAATGAGCATCCGCGCATATTTTCATCGAAAGGCAGCTTGCCAGGGGGCGCTCGTCCAGTGCGGATGTGCGAACACGTCGGCTCCCGATTGTTCAAGTGTTCTGGCACGGATTTTTTGCCTCAACTAGCAAGAACTGTGCATCATTCGACGCCGTTTGTTGTAGTGAACCAGCAGATACCAACATCTTACCGGTGGGTGAAATTTTTGGACATCCCCAGGACTTTTACCCACGCCACGCAGACGCCTCGCGCGTCGACGCGTTTCTCGGGCGCTGCAACAGCGTCGCGACGACGCCTAACGCGTCGTCGAGCTGAAGAATGGCCTCCAACCCCAATGTGTCGGTTGTAGAAGGCATGGACATCAATCCGGAAGAAGCGGATTGCGCGGGATGGATTGAAGTAGCCAGCAAGAAGAAGAAACTTGCCGAGCGGGCGGATTGTAACGCTGGTAATGCGCGACAGGACAGTAAGTCAGCGACAGGAAGCGGTAAAGGCGGCTCCCGCACTGCCGCCTCACAGAACGTGTTGAGGCGTGTTGTGAAAGCTTCCAGGATCCCAAACCTTCCCAGGGATCACTTTAAGACCATTATACGGCCACGTGGAGGGATGGATGTCAAGAAGACAGACCTTCTTATCTTCAAGCGCTCGCTCGCAAAGGCGGCTTCCCTAACAGCACAGCAGGTGTTCGACGACACGCTGTGCACGAACCCCTTCCAGAACATTTTCGTCGTTGCCACGCCGTTCGCGGCGAATGCGCGCGCCTACGCCAGGGTCCAAGAGATAAGTATGGGCTCGACTGTCATAGGCTTGGCGGCTTACGTGGCTGCGTCTGACAACACATGTAAAGGTGTGATCCGTGGAATCAATGTGGATCTCAGTGACGCAGAACTGACAGAGATGATCGTCAACCGGAGGAACCCTGACGCTCTGGGGGTTCGAAGAATCAAGAAGACACCAACAGTGATCGTGTTGTTTGACGGACAAAAGGTCTCCCAGCACGTCGTGTGTGATGGTGTTTGGTACCCTTGTTCCTTGTATCGCAAGCAAGTGGACGTGTGCTATGCATGTGGTGATTTGGGCCACAGGTCCGATGTTTGCCCCAAGGGCGATGAACAGAAGAAATGCCGCGGATGCGGCACGCAGTCACCATCACCGGATCATCAGTGTGATCCCACGTGTGCCATCTGTGGCGGAGCGCACCCAACGGCGGACCGCAAGTGCAGAAAGCGCTTCCAGGTGCCCTACATCGTGCGCCAAAGACGGCGGCGCCGCCGTAGGCGCGCGCGGCGTGGCTCCGACACAGCTGGAGGCGAAGAAGGACTGGCGGAAGAAGAATCATTCTCCAGCGCTCATCGCAGCAGATCGGCATCTAGAGGACGCTCCCGCTCCAGAGGACGCTCCGGCAGCAAATCGCGCTCTCGCTCCAGAGGGCGTGACAAGGGCAGCAGTCGCTCCCGTTCGAGAGGACGATCGGGTTCCAAGGGCCGCGTTCAGAAACAAATGTCTTGGGTGGACAAGGCCAGGATGAACATCCCAAGCGGCCAAAAGGTAATGCAGGGCATTTTACCAGAGCAAAAAAGAGAACAATCAGAGATTTTAATGCTTAAAAAAGAAAATGCAGAACTTAAAGAAGCACTACGAACGCTGAGGGCCGAGTTCGAGCTCTTCCGCAACTCGCGTGAACCCCGTGAAGTAGCCACACCCATACCGGTTCAAGCAGGAGGGTCGAATAAGCGCAAGGCCGTTTCGCCCCCCCCCGATCGCGGAAAGCGTGGCAATGCAAAGTGACGAGTCCCCCGCTCAGGTCCCTGAGAAAAATGTACTCGCGTCTTTAACGGCGATTGAGGAATCGCTCAAGCAGGTGAGAGAGGCCTTAGCCATTCAATCTAGCACAATCGAACGGGAGCGTCTCCCACCTGACACGTCGAGTAGGAATCCTCGAATCTAAAATGAAAATGATTGACTCTAGCAAACTCAAGACGACCAACACTGGTACGATTGCAAAAGCCAAGATAGTGCAGCAGGATTCGGACGCTACGATTTCGCCGCAGGCTATGTTCCTTCAATAATATTCAAAATGGCGGGCCAAACCGGAAACATAACTATCTGGCAGTGGAATTGCGCAAGTTTCTTAAGGCGTAAAGCTGCTCTACTGCAGCTCATCAAAGCACAGGCGTCAATGCCGCACGTCCTGCTCTTGCAGGAAACACTTAGCGAGAAGGTAGTTCTCTCGGGCTACCGTTCAATTAGCCAAAAAGGCGCAAACGGCAGAGGTATCGCCACGTTGGTCAGGAAAGATACCTCCTTTGAGCAGCACGAAGTCAAAATTTGCGACTCGGATAAGAGATCCGGTCTCGAGGCACAATTAATTGAAATCATCCCCAACGGCGAAATCCGAAGCAAGATATTCGTTTTTAACCTGTATAGCCCTCCTTCGGCTTATAAACATAATATCCGCTCACTCCTTCATAGGGTCGCAACTGCCGCCAGATCGCACCCTTTAATAGTAGCTGGGGATTTCAACGCTCCCCATCCGTCTTGGGGCTATGTTACGAGGACAAAGAAAGGGGCCAATCTAGTTGCAGCCAGTATAGACTTAAACCTAACGCTTATCTCCGACCCGCGTTTTTCCACGAGGCTGGGAAACTCGGTCGCCAGAGACACGATGCCTGATCTCAGCTTCACTAGAAATGCGGTGGTCGAGTGGTCCAACTTACAGGAGAACTTGGGAAGCGACCACAGCATCATAGAACTCCGGATGGAAATAAGAACACCACCCCCAAGAACCTATAAATATACAGACTGGGACCTTTTTAGGCAAATCAGAGGTGAAGATGAGTCAGTACATGACACCTTCAGTGAACTTCTTGTACAAATCCAGAAGGATGTCGAGAAGGCCACCAAAGAAATAGTAACAGAATTTGATGCTCCGGGGATGGATGCGAGGTTAGCGCACCTCCTGGACGCCAAACGCTCTCTCATCGCGAGATGGAAAAAAACAAAGGCTAAATCGTAGGCTACGGAAAAAGATTGCGGAGCTCAATCGGCATATTGAGAATCACTGCTCCGAACTACATAAACAACAATGAAGGGACGCCTGCTCGGCTGCGGACGGGAAAATGCGCAAAGGAGGCAAATGGACCCTCTTCAAACACCTCCTAGATGATGGACAATCCAAAGGCAATCAGAAACTAGCCATAGACCGACTTATTAATAAGGAGAAAATGGCAGGCATCTCAGAAGCTTCCCAATTTCAGATACTTGCCAACAAGTACCTCCCGCTTAGCCAGAGCTCAACTCCTGTCCCCCACCGGTATGAGGGTGTGCCTTCCCCAAAGTTGGACGCTCCCTTCTCGGAAGCTGAGATCAGGGAAGTGCTCCATAGCCTAAACGGAAGGTCTGCCCCAGGTCCCGATGGAGTTACGAATCGGCTCTTAAGAAATTTGGATGATAAAGCCATTCAGGCCTTAGTGAAGGAGATAAACAGGGTATGGGAGGAGGGCGTCGTACCAGAAACTTGGAAGAGGGCCACAGTGGTCTTAATCCCCAAGCCAGGTAAATCACCCAGCTTATATCACCTCCGCTCGATCTCCCTTACTTCTTGCCTTAGCAAAGTAGCAGAACATGCAGTACACAACAGGATATCGCGCTACATCGAGAGGAATGACCTATTTCCATATAATATG